ATGCCCTGGCAGGGGCACAGGTAGGGAAAGGGGGAGATGCCCTGGCAGGGGCACAGGTAGGGAAAGGGGGAGATGCCCTGGCAGGGGCACAGGTAGGGAAAGGAGGACAAGGCACCCGCAGGGTCTCCGCCCCGGCGGATCTCGCCTGTCCCGCCCGGGTCTCGTACGCGCTATACGCCCCCGGCCGCCACCACCCCGCAAAGCTCCGGTGTCCACATTTTCCGTCTAAAACCGCTAGTTTAGGAACCACCATGCAAAAGCACTTTTTTTCTTATTAAAAAAAAAGAAGAAGAAAAAAGGAACGCATCACCCGAACCGCTCCGCGCGCGGCCCCACTCCCGGCGGGCACCGGCTCCCGCTCGACGCCCCGAGCGCGGATTCTCCGCCCGAAGCGGGGGATGCGCACGGAGGGGGGTGGGTGGTGGTGCGTGTGTGTTCCCCCACCCCGCCACCTTCACCTCCGCGCCGCGGCAGCTCCCACCGACGGGGAAGAGGCGGAACGCGGGAAAAGGCACCCGCGCCGCCTGCCCGCCGCTCTGCCCGCGGCCGTGCCCCCCCATGTGCCGCCCCCCTCCCCTTGTGCCGCCCCCCGGGCCCGGCCCCGCTCCGGCGGGAGCCGGTTCCTCACCGCGTCGCGCTCGCGCATCCTCCGCCGCGGGGGCGCCACGAGGAACGACTGCGCGCGAGGCGAGCACGTGGCGGCGGCGACGGCGGCGGCGTCTACGGGGTCTCCCTCGCGGCGCTTACGGGGCGGCGTGAGGCGGCACCGCCGCCATCTTGGAGCTCGAGTGGCCGCGGGAGGTGGGTCCGGGAGGGTTCTTATGGCCAGCGGGGCCGGCAGCACCTGTGCGGGGTGCGGGAGAGGGCACCTGTGTGGGTCGGGGGAGCAGCTCGGTAACGTACCCAGGGGGTCCCCACAGCTGCGCTCCCTCACAGGGGCCTCCCGATGCTGGAACAGAAACTGGGAGGTGCTTCCCCTTGTCCGTGACCCTCTCCCGTAAAGATGTACGAAGGAGGATTTTGAGTAGGTTAAAAAACCTCTTTTTTTTTTTTCAATCGGTGCTCAAGGAAAGGATAAGATGATGTGACACAAATGTATGATCGTGTGCCACAAATAGAACGTTGTGGGAAGCTTTCCCTTAGACATAAGCTTTGTCCTATATTTTTTCAAACAGTTTATTTCCTTGCTGTGTAGGTCATTCTTAGCATTAGGCTAAATTTGGCTGCAGATGCACCAACAGTGAAGACAGACACCGAGGGAGCTCAGTTGGACCCACAGTCTCAGCTGTGGCCTGGCCAGGAACATGGGTGCAGAATTATTTACATTTTTACTGACTTTTTTTTTTCCAGGGAGCTTGGTTGAAAGTAACAAACATTCAGGCATTTAAATAAAATACCTTGAGTCTAGAAAATTAGAAGTTTATAGGATGGCCTGCCTGGTTTGCTCTAGTGCTGCAAGCCATGTATGCAACTTGCATTAATTTCAAGGGTATTTCTAACACAAAGTGAGGAAAGACTGAACAACTCAGGCCTTTTGAAGATCTGTACCTGGAACTTCAAAACAAGGTCCAATCTCTGCTTCCAGTACGGATGGCAGAATTTGTACTTGTTTATGCACTTTGATTTTCAGTTCTTTGTGTATAAATTTAGCTGTGGGTGGAGTATCCTGAGCCAGATTTCTTCCTATATGCTATACATACAGGATGACAGAGAGACATACATGATTCTGTGTTAGATTGACAAGGAATTGCATTTCCCAGCAAATGCTGGATCAGAGCCATCTGTTTCAGAAATTAGCATAGCAGCAATTTGTTTGTTTGGCTTCATCTGTCTATTAGTTTGGTCCAAATCCTCTTGTTTTAGAGACACACTAGCACATAGGGAAGGGACCCGTCATCTGCTCTGTGCAGGCATCCCCTAAAATACATAAATTATTCTAACAAGAGGAGATATGAAATGTCATTGTCAGAAATCCAGACAAAGCAAAAGTGAGATTCTTTTTTTTCCCTGTAAACAAATTTGATTTTCTCAGTGCACTCTGTCTTCCATTAAAAATCACCTGGCCCTAAACAGTGTACTGGTCTCAGAATGCTTCTCTCCAGCCCAAAGTAGTGTTGCTGTACTTGTAGGTGCACTGGATCTTTCTCTTCTGTTTATTTTGACAGAATGATGGAAATCCTTCCTGACTTAAAGCCTCCACAACTTTCTTTTGAAGAGGTATTGATATTCTTAGAAACTGAGGAGTCCAGCTGCAAACAACAGTCAGGAGAAGGGCATCAGTCCATTAAATGATAAGGTATCACTCTGTTAGACAACAGCTTTTCTAAAAGCAGTTCACTTTGAGTTCTGTACCTAAAGAAAACGACATCTCTTACATAGCTTTTTTTATTTGCTGCATACCAAGTCTGCACTATTCAATATTTTAGTTATTTGCCTAGATTTTTTAGGTCTTTGAGGGGAAAAAGAATAAAAATTCTACTTAATACTCCAAAAACTCGCATCTACCACTTTATAGTTCCTACTGGATCTGGTTACAGTGCAAATATTTCTCCACAGACACAGCGAAAGGTCTGCACTGTTGTACAACTAATGATCACTCTGTGGCATTTGCTTGATGATACAAGTTTCAGATGATATTCCTAACTGCTCTTTAAAAATACAACCAAAAATAGTTATAAGAAAGTCTTCTGTACCCTTGAGAAGTGTAAAGCCCAATATAGTTATTCTGAAAAGAGAATTCTAGGTAGACCTGCTCAAATATGAGGAACTGTGGATGTTTCTTACAACTCATTACTGGTAATGCACAATTTAGAGATGTACTACACAAAGTAAAAGATTTAGTTCATTTTGGTGTCACTTCATTTCTTAGTCACACGGCAAAACCAACAACAAAAACTCCTTCTAAAATAAGAACTTACGTTTCTCCTTCAGATAAACGAGTCTGATGTTGTAGGCAATGAAAGTGATGTGAAGTCTCAGCTCAGAGGATGTGAGTGCTCATTGTACACGTGCACTGCAGATCACCTGTGGTGGTTTGGGTGCATCTGTCTCTACCTGAGCATCTCCCTCAAGTTACTCCTCCCACACTCCGCCCCCTTCCTTTGTCTAATCCCAACACCCCACAGTGGGATCTGCTGCAGTTTGGAAACCTGGGCTGAATGGAAGGGGAGTTGCCAGTGAGAAGAGGCTTTCCTGCTAAAACCATAAACACCTAAGGCAGGGCTGTGCTCTCATTGCCTGATGATGAAACAGCGGGACCAGCTAAAGTCAGACGGTGGCAACATCTGGTGGCTTCGCTGTGCTGTCAGAGCTGGCTGATGAAATTGCCCATTCAGAAGATGCATTTTGAATCAATACCTGGGTAATGCACACCACGGTGTTTAGAACAAATAGCAAATGTTGTCAGAAGTAAATAGTTCTGTATTTTAAGCAATGGAAAGAGTGTGTAAGTGCTTTTCCAGGGTAAGTGTAGAAAGCCATTACAAAGCTTATCTTTTCAAGTGACCTATAAAAGCTATAAACACATCAAAGGCTTTCAGGACATCAGATACAAACTTTAATTCTTCCCACAGTCAAAAACTCCCATGAAGCCACTGTCCCTGGATCATGACTCCAAGTGTGCTCAGTAATGCTAATGGAACTCACACTTACATGGGCAGCTTCACTCACAAACTGTAATTTAATTCAGGTTACAATTTATTAAGCAGTGATTTCTTGTAGTGATTTTTTTCTCTAAATTGCTGAATGTAAGGCAACACAATTTTTTTAGAATAGAATTTCTGGTAGGTTTTATTATTACAGAAAAAAACCCCATTAAAATGTAGCTGAAATGCTTCTGCTTCAAGGCAGCAGCTTTTTGTTTACAGCTGGCAGGTTGAGAGGTTATATTTGTGTCATAAGTAAAGGTGGGTGAAATTTCTTCCAGGTGGAGTCTAGGCTTTCATAGCAATCTGAGATTTTAGCAGCAGTTTTTCTTACATTGTTGTCCAGCTCTAACCATAATGCATTTAGTCAGTCACAACACTGTGAATTTAGTGAATGTGGCTTTTTGATTTTTTAAAATACTATGAAAAGATGTCCTTTACTGTAAATACATAACGTGTCATCCTGATATCATAAGGTACCGAACACAGAGGGGATGAAAATGCCAGTGGATCCTGCTGAATGATTTAGCCTTAAGGCTCCTGCAGGTTTTATTCGGATTCAGAATAGTAAGAGTGGGAAGTAGGGGATAAATAAAACATTTGTTTCAGAAAGTAGGTGACTTTGACAGAACACTGATGCAAACCATGAAGCCTCACAGATCAGAAGAATATTGTTAAGAAGGGAGGCTGGTGAACACTCAACGCCAGCCCCCGAGTGGTGCTGATCAGTGCAGTGCTGCTTTGCTTTTAACTATTATTGCACCTTCTCTGCAGTTCTACAGAATTCAGTCAGTGACTCCCACTGATGTATCACAGTCACTCAAACGTGTTTTTTTATCCAGCACCACTCGGTGGATATTTTGGTTAAGGCCTAATCTCATTTGGATTTATTACGATTTATCTTGGATTAAGCGTTTATCTGCTGAGGATTACGACCCATGCTATGAGGTACTGATGGGCGATCCGAGTTCAGGAATGTCTGAGCACATTAGAATGAATCAGCAATATTATTTTTTGACACAGTCTTCACACATTATCTCTTTTCAGTCAACTTTGCGACACTCATACACATAAGTATCTAATTTTCATTTAATATGGGCAGTAACCTGGAAAGCTCTTAACACCCAGTAAGAGAAAGCTGCATTTAATTAGGAGCAGCTTAAAAGATCAGGCCTCAGAGCCACATGACTTCATATTCACTCTGCCTTCTGCTCTCAGTATAACATTATTGATTTTTTTTATATCAATTTAAATATTTTTTCTTTTTGAAATGTATTTTGATGAGTCTTTCACTGCTATCCCAACTTTCTACTTCTTCTAATTTGCGCAGCCAGGAGTAAAAATAACGACGAAGGAGAATGCATTGTTTGTCTATTACCTTTCTGGACTTTTAAGATGTTTTTCAGGTTTGAATAGGTTTAAACTGCTTCCTCTATTGATATACACGGTACTGCACCTCAGGAACAGTGCTGGATTTCTCATGGGATTAAAAGAAGTTGGTCTTTGGCTTCAGTTCGTGGCAAAGCCACCAGTGCATGCTACAGTTGCCCTCAAACAGGCTCCTGGCTATTTTCATGCTTAATCATCTTGTATATTTATCATATCTTAGAAATTCCATTTTATGCTGCTTTTTATGCTACTTTAATTGCACCAATTTGGAGAATTCCAGTGGCCATAATTTTGTATGTTTGTAAGTTTTCCTTACAGTTTGGATTTTGTCTTCGTGATGACACACACAGAGAAGGTTTAAATACTTTCAGTCTTTCATAATGCTGAAAATAAGACCTTGGATGTGAAACTGCACAATTTAATGTGTTTAACCACTCTTACTAAAGGAATTAGAGGGAAAATATATGGTTCATTTCCAGTATACAATTCTACTATTTGCTAAATACTGTCACATTTACAATGTGCAGTCCTGTAACAAATGACTACGCTGCAGTGTTACTGTTCATTTTGAGGATTGCCTGCAATGTCTTATTTGCCAACCAGGGAGTTTGCAGTGTGAGTGTAACTGTGAGGAGATGAAACCTAAGGTGGTAAGGGACACTAGTTCCAGTATGTCTGACTTCACTAAATAGAGTAATGTAATTAAATTTTGGTTTTCAGGAGAACAGTTCAAAATTCAATTTCTTTACAGTGTTGGGATACACTATGCCTTGTTACCAATTTGCATCTTACCCAAGTAATGTTCAGAGTTGTGGACACAGCAGTGTGTATGAAACTGTAGCTCATATTTCAAGGAAAAGATTCAGCTGATGAAAAATTAGACAAAGTAAAAGACTGAGAATGGATGAGCATAGAAAAAAATTGATCTACCGTAACTAAAAATGGTGATAAATAAGCTGTAAGGAGACATAAAAAAATAAAATTATTTTTCAGTACCTTTTTGGAAAAAATATCAAATAGAAAATCATCTGGATTTTCATATAAGCATGTGTACAAGGAGAGAAAAATAGTGAGTGAAGGGTATTTTCTGGTAATGGGATACATTAAGGTTGCCATGGAATTTGGGATCAGCATGCACAAGATATTGATCTTAAACCTGCTGCTGAGCTACAAGGATAAGAAGGACTTGTTAATTTACTTATTTTCTATATCAACCCAGAACCAGCCATGTATAGGGACAACCCTATGGATAGGATGGATGGCAAAGTCTGACTTTGAAAAGACTCTTACTGGGACTCAGGGAATCAATTCAACTGGAAGGGACCATAGGAGATTTTCTAGTGCAAACTCCTGCTTACATCAGGGTCAACACCGAAATCACATCAGTTGGTTTAGGGCTTGATGCAATGAAGTTTTGAAAACCTGCAAGGATGGAGATTCCCCAGCCTCTCTGAGCAATGTGTTCCAGGGCTTAAATATCTCCAAAGAATAAAGGGGAATAAAAAAGTTGTGCTCCGTGTTCTCCAGGCTACTAATAAAGATATTCCTTGGTGTAGGTCTAAGGGTAAACTTTCAAGGGATGCCACTGGTAACTGCTGTCAGATGGAGGGTGACTCTTTAACCCCTTGGGCCTGTCAAGGCAGATTTTCACCCATTCAGCAGTCTGCCCATCCACACTATAACATTCCAATTTGGATACAAGTTTGCTGTGGGAGACCTGCTGAAAGCCCTCCTGAAGTCAAGGTAGGCAACATCTACGGCTCTGCCTTTGTCTGCATGTCTTGCCACTTCATCACAGAAGGTCTTTAGGCTTGCTCAAGTGTGGCAAACCTTGGAGAATCCATGCTGGATACTGCTTCTCATCACCTTTCTTTCTTCTTCAGGCATGGCTCCTGCAGACTTGCACTGTTATTGTCCCAGAGGACAAGCAGTGGTTCCGTGGATCATCATTCTTGCCTTTCTTTAGCATTATGGGCTTTTGGAGAGATTGAAGTGTGAAATCAGCCTTTCACTTCACAGCTAAGAGATTTGACATAGTCCATAGTGATACACTCCCTACAAACTGGGACTAAAAAGTCTGTAAACAGTTATTGATCTCCACATGCTACTGGGGAAATTTTCCAAGATCAGTGACAGCTGGGAAATCACTGGCATTTTAAAATTATAGATCACTGATTCACTTTTTTGGCATTTTCAGTATTGCGTTATGGCAATAAACATGCTAGATGTGTATAAAAAAACCAAAGTGCTTTTAGCATTTTAGTATTTTTTTGGTTGAGCAGTATTACAGATGAAAATTTCTTGATACAATTCAAAATAATGGGTTTGTTTATTAAAGATATATACCCATTAAGATGAAGTTAGGATGAGGAAAATGCTTGTTTGTGTGAAAATAATATCTGCTTTTTCAACAACAGCATCTCCTGAGGTTTCTTTGATTCATATCTGATTACTTTAATGACTAAACCAGGTTTTAACTCCTGTTAGCACTGCAGAATACAGGGAATTATAGAAGAGAAAAATGTATTTTGCCCTCCCAAGTCATTGTCAACACTGCTCTGAGGTACATTTCATTCTGGAATTATTTGCAAGGGGGGGGATTGGTTTCCAGTCATTGTCCCAGACAGAGATTGCAGAAGCCTCTGGTCAGTCACCGAGCTTTCATTACAATTTGGGAGGAGTTGGGTGCTTGCCTACAGAAGGGCACAGGTGCGTGAAAGGAAAAGATGTGTTGACAAAATCACCTCTTTGCTGGACAATTAAAAATGTGAGATAAACCCGAGCTTGTTCTGTGCTGCCTGGGGCAAGAAGGACTTCATATTGTTAACACAGTGATTCCTCTGGCTGATGAAGGATCTGCTCTGACGCATTCTGAAGGATGTTGCATATGCCTTGGCTCGGAAAATGATGTTTTCTTTGTACTGGTCGAGGATAGAAAAGAAGGGGAAATGGTGGGAGTGGTGACTCGGGTGATCTTTAGAGGAAAAAAAATAATGCAAATTCAAATTGAAGATGAGCTCTGTATACTTCCAGGTTTGAAAATAATTAGCAGTCACAGAATTTGTAATCTACTGTCTCAGATTTTTGCACTGCAAAAATACACATTTTAAAATAGAATAAAAAACTGGCTAGTAGGATTAGCTGGCTAATAATGTTTTAATGCAAAAAATATGTAATAGAAAATATTGTTCTGTCAGAATCTGGAAAGAAAAACAGCAAATAATAAAGTGATTTGAGCTAAGAACTTTGAATACAGACTTAATTGTTCAAGACATGACTGATTTTATTTTATTCCCATGACAGCATCATTTCATCCCCAGTCTGTCATGCCACGAGGCCTGTAAGGTATGTATTTTGCCTTCTCAGCTTCTCTTAGGGAATGATTTGTTATTAGGAGTACGGAGACTATTTCAAGTGTCTCTTAAAATCTGTGGTATTGCAAACAACGGATATAAAATGAGATTCACACACATAGCTTTGCTGGTGGCCAAGAACTGCGTTGCAATATGCCGGAAATCCAAACATCCTCCTACTCCCAGAGCCTTGCTGACAGATCTACAACAACTTCTTTCTCTTGAAAAAGCTACTTACAGAATCAGAGAGAAGCCTGATAATTCTGAGAAACTAATGTAATCTATAAAGTGGAAGGTTAAAGATTCCTCATCGTTATAAAAATGACATTTCTTTTGGAAAATTTTACCGTTTCCAGTAACATCTAAATCCCCCCCCCCAAAAATCTTGTCATCCCTGAAAAAGCAACAACAGCAAACCCTTAGGATTAGTGTCATTGTTTTCCTGTACAGCCTTTTAGACCTACAAATCATTGGGCTCCTGCGTAAGTACAGGGTGTTCATCAATGGAACTTGATACAGAAATAGAACCTCGGCTCAGCAGATCCTCCTTTCTTGAAAAACCAATTAAAAAGGCAAACACAAGGGAATAGAAAAACAAGTAACTTTTACAGGGGTGTATATTTTCAACAGCGTATTTTGCAAGAAGGGCTGTGTTAGATGCTACATATTTTAATTAGCTGTTTAGAAAATCAGGTTGACGATGTCCTTTAATTAGTAGACATTGACTTATTCCATGTGTATTATGGCACAGTGAATCTTATTAAGATAAATGTTTCTCTCTGAAGATACAAAGAAAATCCACCATCATTTGTTTGCTTACCAGATTGCTCACCATCAATACGGCTGCTATTTAAAATGATGAATTTTAGTCACATATTTAATTAGCTAATAGCTGATCTCACTGTAGGGTCTTGATCCTCCTTACATGTGTTCTTTCATCCTGAAAAAGTCTTTGGTTGTATCTTGGTTTTGAAGTTTTTGTTTGAAATTGTCCTTGCTACTTTCAAATCTAAAATGCAATAAATTAAATTATTAAAAGTAAAAATTATGGTGAAAACATTTAAGGTTTTGAATATAGTTTTGTACCTACTGCTCATTTAAATATATTGCTAGAGGCTATGAATTTAAAAAAAAAATTAAAAGTTTTTAAAGTCAGTTTTTCCACTTGCTGCGGGTATTTGCTGAGAAAATTATGTGCACTTTAAAGTGCTATAAACCAGCTGAAGATTTCAGTGCATTTGTCTATCACTGCTCGGCCTGCAGTCTTCTCACAGAATTCAGGTCGTTCGATGGCCACATCTGCAAAGTGCAGCAAATGCACTGTAGCCTACTCTGTGTCATGATAATTATTAAAAAAAGAAAATGTCTTCAGAGCGTTCACATGAAAGGCAGAAAGCTCTTGTGGGCGTCACTGGTTTGGAAGAGAACTTCTTGGGACTGTCTCTATTTTAGTTGTTCAGAGTATGTGACAAATGGTGCTTCTTCATCCCCACAGATCACGTTAGTGCCTAGAATGGCATTCAGGGGAAAACATCCCTCTCTCGTCACAGCAGGTGACACTCCTGGTCCCATGGGTTAGTGTCAGGTAGTCATGCAAGGAGCAGGGAGTTGGACTCCATGATCCTTAGGGGTACCTTCCAACTTGAGATACTCAGGATTCTACATGACCAGCCTTCTAAACCTCTCATTTTCCTTCCAATTTGCAGAGGTATGTTATTCCACCAGTACAAAGAAGATAAGCAAGAAGGAAGTTAATAAAGTGGAATTTTCCTTGTTACAGAGGCTGTCTTTGAAGGGATTGTAATGGCAGGTATAGTTCTGCCAAGTAGAAATGATTCTGGAGATGCTGCAGAAGGTGGAGGCTTTCCTGTGATGAACCTGGAGGCAGTGCAGAGGGGTTAGGTAAAGCCAGGCTGCAGCCATTGCAAAAGGATCTTCTGAAAAAGATCTGCAAGGTGGATTTGTCATTGAATTTGTAGCTACATGGATGGGTGTGTACCTGTCACTGAATTTGCATTAGTTCAACTATATATATCTAATATATATAAAATAAGTATCACTATTACTTGCAAGTAAGCTTGCTTTAAAAGAACATTTTGAAATAATATATGGTTAATGATATGAATTCCTAGGAAACTGCTATAGGGCAGATGGGTCAAAGTCAAGAGAATTTGTTCAGTGAAACCAAAGGGCATGGGGGTGCCTGGAGCACCGTGGTGATGGGCAAATAACGTACCACCAGATAGGGGGAATATCCATCAGGCTTGTCCTGCTGCTGCCACTTTCCTAACAAACACTGAATAGCTATCAAGCTTCAATCACTATTGAAAACCGGCTGTGTTACTGAAAGTATTCTCTTGACCTCTGGAGTATGTTATTACAAAAAGAAGGGCATAATTGACTTATTGAATCCACAATTATTTGTTCTTGCTGTTGTCCCATAACAGCATGGATTATAAACCTTATGTCCTAGTCAGGCAGGCAAAACTCTGTTACCTTAGTCCTGCTGTTTAATTAGCATTTACAATTGGACATTGTTTATATACCAATAAATGTTGCCTGAGTGAAGACTTCCCCTTAACCAATTATACCAGATGTTTCTCTGTGAAGGTCCTAATTAAACAGCATCTCTTCTCGTGGTTGCTTTAATCCTGCCTCTTGTGTGGATCTCTGTCAGAGTGCATTGCTACACTGGGACACTTTACCCACATTTCTGTCCCTTTCAGGTTCACTGGGTGGTGGCAGCTACTCCCTTTAAAAGTTCTTGCTTACTGTATGGGGAGAAAGTTCTGATGGGTAACCTTGAGAGCTGGGAATCCAAATCCATTCCTTGTTCTATAGTGGGATTCTCAAGTGATTGCTAAGTGACATATGACCCCATCAGGATGCTATAACTTCAGGTGGCTGATGGGGTCACTGCTCTAGTGTCCAAATCTGCAGTTTCCAGCCCAGAATGTTCAGCAAAGGGGGAATTTACTTGGAAGCCCTCCTCTATAGACATTGTCAAGTTGCAGATCCTGTGCCTGGTTTGTGAGCAGCTCTGCCCCCCATCACAATTTTGGCAGTTTCGGGAATGATCGAGGATTGCTGTCCTGGACAGTGCTGTGCCCACTCCTTAGTCAGACCCTCAGTATACTTGAGCTTCCCTTCTCCTGTATAATGGTCCATTACTTTCTGGCAGTTAAGATTTTAAGAGCTTTTCTATTCCAGGTGCTTCTTCTAAGAGCTGATTCCTAAGTTTCCAGCACTTTTGTGTGTGCTTATAATATGAAAAGGAAATCAGCTTCCTTTCTCTGGTACAGCACCCGCCATCCTAAGTGAGTCAACGAGTTCCTAAATGTAGTATTTCAATGTCACGTGGAAAAGTAAGGAGTGGGAGATGTATCAGTGGGAACACTGTCTCACTGCCAATCCTTATGGGTCAGAGGATTAGGAATACAGTAGCCCATCTGTGCTGCCCCAAATATCTTCATTTAGAAGATAAGAATGGTATGTAACTACATTTTTTACTGTGTACTTCCTTCATCCAAACTTCAAGTGACTCTAATTTCATATTAATGTCTTAATTTTTAAATTGTCCTTGATTTCAAGATGGATTAGTTAGTAATTACATTAAATTATTTCTGCAGATTCTGATCCAATATATACCCATTCATTTCTGTAAGATATTAATTTAAAGGATTTTTTTTTCATCTGTAGGGCCACTCTTGCAGGGAGTGGCAGAAAGTTTGCAGGCTGTGAGGGTCACTGAGGCTTTAGAACGCAGAAGAAGATGTTATGAATACAAACTTTAAAAAGTTCATGTAATTTTTTCTACAGACTCTTAAGTTGAAGTTTAGGGACAGATAATTGTGTGTGATTATATCTTAGTGAATATTCACTTCTCAGCATTGCTATTACATCAAGGGAAACATTTCTGGTAATCATGGTGTTCAGGAGTATCTGGACTTTGGTATTACTTGGACAAAATAGAGAAATTAAAGAAAAGATGCCGTGTGTTTCCTGTCTTCAAACACATAGGATAGAGATTTTAAAATGTTGCTGTGAATGTGGTCTTGGTGTAATGCTTCTCTGATGCCTCTAAAGCCCGGTCTCTGCCCATCTCATGATGCTCAGGGTGAAGTTTGCATGTGGAGGACTATCCCCTGATCATATTTTGGACCATCATCAGATTGTCCTTTTTCTCTTGAGTTCTCCTTGTTTTGCCCTAGCAGACAGTATTTAGGACTAGATTCACCAAACAACACCATTTCTTGTACTCTTGAGGGAAGGTAGTTGGCTTTTTTGGTAGGTCCCATATTTTGCTTTACTCTATACCCTGGATTCCACAGAAAATGGCCCTAATGTTATTATCCCTTTTCTAAGCTGATGGAGTGCTGCTATGGGCTTGAGTTTTCCTTATTGCACTGTCATTTTTAAAGGCAAATGTCAGTAACATTTTGCACTAAAAGGACTTGTTTTGGTGGCACTGCAGGGCTTATGGAATAACTGGCAAGCCAGGAATGTTTCTGCACAAGTGCAGTGCAAAACTGAAAGGCTAAAGGTGAACCAGGACTTCAAGGGCTGACAGTCCTAAGCCACCAAGTGCAGTGAACTCAACCAAGGCAATCTACCTGCAGCCTTTGAGCTCATTCCTTGGATTCCTGAAAGGAATAAACCCCTCACTGTTCATCCATGTGGCTGACATTGGCATAGATCTACTTCACTCCTATCTGAGCACTCGTAGGACTTGTATATAATAGGAGCAAAAGGGAGTTCCTTGCCACTTAGTGTGAGAAAAAAATGCCAGGGAAGACAAGTGCATATTAGGGTGAGCCAACTGTTTACCATGATCTGCTAACAAATGTGATAACTAAAAATGGCCTTTCTGCACTGGGATTTCATCGTGTATTAGTTGCCATGTGTTAGCTAACATAAGCTTATTGCAGTCTAAAGTAAATTCCTGCCATTTCAGTTTACCTCCTCTCTCCCAGCTGCTACATGTACTGATTGTCTCTCAGCGATTTGCTGCTCCTTTTTCTGTGCCACTGGCACCTTGAGAAATTGTAACTAATAACAAATCGTGAAAATATTTTAAAAGTTTGGAATTTAACATGGTTCCTAAATTAATTATGAATCCTCTCTTATAAAGAATTACATTTCAGTTGAGGGCCAAATAACCAGCTTCAAGACAGCAAACAATTCACTTAATCTGAAATTAAGTTCTGATTGTACCTCTCTCATCTGTCCAGATGTTCGCTGTCTGAGTTAAAAGAATTTTATCAGAGTAAATGCTGAAAAGGATTAAAAGATAGCAGAGAACTGTAGAGTTTATAGATTATTAAAATGCAATGCATAAAATGTATTTGTATATATAAACTGAGTCCATAATAATATTGGAAATATTGGAAATATTGATGAAAAACTAAGATATTAAACATTTTCCAATTAAGATATTAAAACATTACACAAGCATATATTTTAATTTCTAAGTATAGGTGTAGTAATCTCTGCCACTAGGAGTGGATCAAGATCATGAAGACCCCTTGGGGACACCTGTAAAGAGCATATTTAGCAGCTACACAATTAGAAACCACTGGAAAGTGCTTTCCCCACTGAGGGATTCCAGGGAATTGGAGGGTTCCAGTGTAGAAGAATTCTTTGGGTCCCTTCTACCTGCCTCTGAGTAGCAGAGAATTCTAGCTTAGCGTTATACTTCACGTTTGAAATTGTAAACTGTTTTGACCCACATGCTCAAATCCCAGGAGAACTGACTTAGCCCTTCACCTTTCCCAGGTAAAGTGCACTTTTATCACATATATGGGTGCACCTTTCTGATGGGAACTTAAAAATGAAGGTTATTTCCTGAAAAGAATTTAGAAGTCTCAGTTTGTAATAGCAAGGGTTTACCTATGCCCTCGGATAACAGTTCTTTTTCCATTCTGTGCCCGGGTGGCTGCCACTGACCTTCCTTTCCTTTCCTAGTTGTGCTGGCTGGCAAGCAAACACTCCTCAGCTCTGCCTGGCTTAGAGGGGCAGTGGAAGAGCAAGGGGGGGGAGTGTGAGGAAGCCCTGCACATTGGCAATCCCCTGCTTTTACAAGCTCAGAAGAGCTTTGTGGAAGAGTGGAAAAGCCAAGTAGCATTCCGAATCCCGGAGTCACAGGTCGTTCACCTCCCGTACGGCACTGCTGTCATTTACAGGCTGGGTTCCTTCGGGCCGGCGGTTTCTCTGTGTAATTACACAATATTGATGCACATCTGTGAGGACAAACCGTTAGGAACAAACAGTTCAAAATACCTATAAAATGTAAAATTAAAAAAGAAAATATTTTCAGGTGTGAAATGAGATGATGCTTTGCCTGCGTGGGCAAAAATTGATCCAGGTTTTGTGATGACGGTGTCTCTGGTTTCATGTCAGTTATCTCAGCATAACTTTTAGATTACTTCTGAAATCATGCACAGAACGAGGGGAGATACAGTTTGACCTTTTCAGACTTGCTGCATTTTAATTTTTCCTATGCTTAGAAATAACACAGAAAAAACCCCCAAGAGGTAATATTATTTTTGTATAAATCTCTGTAGTTATACTAGGCATGTTCAGAATACATTAAAGATACTGTCCTGACACAAAAAAATTACAATGTGCTTTTAGATATTACATAACTAATGAGAGCAATAAATGCTGGGGGAACGAGTGGATCAAGGTTACAGTAATAAGATTATAGCATTCCTCCACTGTGTGTGCATGGTTGAAAATTCACCTCAATTTTGCTGCCTCAGTGTGGGCTTTGGTTTTTCATTTTGGCTTTTTCTTGCTTTATCAGATTTAATTTTCTGTCTGAGTCCACCAGACCATAACATCCTGGCTAAAATCTCTGACCAGACTTTTGATTTTCTCTTTCTCTTTTTTTCCTCTCTTTTTTTTTTTTTCCTTTTTCTTTTTAGTTTTCTTACTTTTAATTTAGAATGTACCTGCTCTGCTTGCACAGCCACCATCAATGGCCTGTCTGTAGCAGAACCATTGTCATGGTCTTTTCTCTGACAGGAGTCACAGTTGAAGCACCAATAGAATATACACTTGAATGCTCACGTGACTTTTTCCTACACAGGGAAAGTGATACCAAAAAAAAAAGTAATTATATGATTTCTATGCAATTACACCTGGATTTTTAAATCCCCACTTTGAAGACCCACACCATACACTGTGTGTGTGGTGTGTGAAAGGCATGGAAAACGTGTGCTAATGCTCCATCTTCTCATTCACATCCAGCCTTAACAGTCACTTAAAAACGATTTGTGAAAAAATCAATAATGTACCTTACTGTCTTTTTTTGTAATGTATAAAAAAGGGTGGATTTTTGCCAATTTTTTTAAACACTCTGAAAATATCAAGATTGTAAAATTGGATTTTTATTGATTTTCTTGGAAGATCTTTGAGGTTTCGACAGACATGTATTGACAGCAGCCACCTCTAGCTGAATCAGAAGTATTGAATGTGTAACAGGAATCATTCGATCTTCAACATATTTGAATTATCCTCATGTTAAAACAAAAGTGATCAGAAATCTTTTCTCCTTTCAAGTCTTTGCTCTTGCACTGTTATTCTTTCTTACGTTCTTTAATCGCCACAGTCTTCCAGGCTGCAAACGAAAGATAAACAAACAATGGAATATCTAATGTTTCAAATGCAAGCACAGATCAAAAAAGTAAAACATACTCCTTAAGTCCATAGAGATTACAAATAAATAGAAAAATGGGACAAATCCGTATTTATAAAAATAATTTCTTTCTCAATATTTGTAATGAAGGGAGTTGTCAGTCACGTTAATTTTTATGTAAATTTACCTAAGCTGATGAATCATAACTGAAATATTGTCTAATCTTCCTGGTTTTGGCTGGCATTTCCATTTTTATTTCCATTGCCTCAGTTTATTTTTGTTTGTTTATACAATGAGTTTTAAGGGTCTGTTCCAGGACCCATAACACAGCAAGAGGAGCGGCCCTGCCTCGAGTCGCTGTCAGTCCCACACAGGCAGTGGATCCCGACACATGAGAGTAAGACAAGAACAGTCTCCATGACAGACAGTCATCTTGGCACACAGCTGACGATTCATTACCATTCCTTCAGTAGACAGCACAGCACAGGAGATTTTTAGGGAGGGATTTGAAGGAGGAAAATTAGGTGAGTGGGAGTGAGAAGCAGCAGCGAGGGAAAGCATGAAGGTGCCGGTTTGAAAATGTAACAAGTAGAGAGTTATTACTGAATGAAATGTGTGGGGGGAAGCCGTTGGTTTTTCCATAGGCTATTAAAAGATGATGGGGTGGGAATAAGCTGCAAAGAGTCACAGAAGTGGAGCAGTTTTTGCTTGCCAAGATGCGGAAGGAGGCGGGGGGGACCCGCTGGAACAAGGAATAGGGCTGAAACAGCGAATGTGAGGATAACCGGGGCAGCGGTGGTTTGCAGCAGTGTTCTGTTGTTCTTTGTTGGTTTGTGATGTCCAAAATCAGACTGTTTAACAGCTTTGGAAGGGCAAGGGCCAAAGATGTCTTTGTACTAACGAGCACCCCAATATGTTCTCAGGTGCTCTAAAGATGTGCAAATAAAAATAAGCAACCCCTTCTCCTAAAAACCAGTTCCCTCGTTCTTCAGCCCTGATTCAAGTTACACCATTCGGTTATCTTTCTATTTCCAAAAGAACTTTCTATATGAACTTTCCAGTTCTCTCTTGTCAAATTATCTTACTGTTTTTGGAAAGACTGCATATCATCTATATTTAACAGCACTTCTGCTTGGTGAGGTGACTATAACATAGCATTAAACTCAGACTAAAAAAAATGAGTGTGGCATTTCTAGGTTTTTCAAGTGTGTTAACTCAGAAGAGATAATTTGACTGGAGAAAGTTCTTTCCCCCAAATGTCTTTATTTCAATAGACCTTCTTGCAGGTATTTGAGTTGAGTTAATTGATGGGCAATTAGATGCAAAAGGCCTTTGGATTAGTATTTGTGGTCACCATAGAAGCGAGTCTCAGAGAAATGTGAATAAAGAGGTCCTCTGAAGCACTGATATGGAAGGTCTCTCCACAGAGAGAATTCTTAGAAATTTACAGATGAAAAATGCTATATGAGTATTAATAGATAGGAATGAAATATGGATGAGGGGACACTAAAGCTGGAATAGCAAGTAGAACAAAGGGAATAAGGGGACATGGGGACATAAGAAACCAGACTAGAGCTGCAAACTTGGACAGAACTCTTTAAGATCTAAAAAGGAAAAAAGAAAAAAAAAGGAAATATCAGATAAAGGAATGAAGAGGTAAGTAATATGAGAAATTGTTTGAAGGAGGGCTGGGATGGGACGTGGCTATCAGGGAACCTAAAAGAAAGAAGAGAAAGATTAGAGTATATGTGGCATGTTCTGAAGAGGGATGTACCAGGACCATTTGTCCAGCAACAGACAAGGAAGAGCACAGGGCCTGGGTGATCTGCTGGCCTGGAGGAAGAGTGTATGGGAGAGAATGTGTCTGTGGGGGTGTGTGCACTTAGTGTAGCTCACTGTCAGCAGTGAGACAAATCAACCTTTTTAGTATGCGAGTGACCACCTATAGTTTATAAAGACTGCAGAGGGAAAAGTCTAGAAAATATTTTTTTCAGAGCTTGGATCTAGATGGCTTTGCTAAGCAAAGAACAGACTTACACTCCTCTATTCTTCTGTGCAAGGGTGCATCTTCTAACCCTGTCACAAAGCCCCCTTGGTACACCCTTTTAGACAGGTATTTCATCAAGGCACAGGAATGTGGCTAAAGTAACATTAAATTAATTAGCATATATAATACTAAAGTAAGATACTGAGAGTGAAGAGCAGTAGATAAAGGAAAGAGGCCTAAATGTCACTGAAAAAGAAAGGAAACAGTAAAGGAAGGGAAACCACAAAAATAGATGCTGCAAAAATAACCAGAGAACTATGAACTGAAAGAAGAATGAACAGGGCTGCAAAAGGAGCAGGCTTTCTCTTTTCCAGGGAGGAAGGAAGCAACTGACCCTACAGAAAAATCTAAGCATGTGGAACCTGCAGGTATTATCCATGTGAGTCTTGTTAAGAGGAGTTGAACTGGAGCAGAAAAGGCACATGCTAGATAGGAAGACAAAAAAGGTAAAGTGATGTTTAAATTTTACCTGCCTTGATTTTTAAGCTTGGAATCTTTCACTGACTAGTCATTGGTCACTAGGAAGTGGTTACATTAATTTACTGGATCTAAGGAGGCAAACACCTTTGTACATAACCATGAACACAGTCCTGCCCATTTCCATTGCTGAGCACTGCACGTGCACTCCCTGGTTCACGGTTCTAGCAGCCCCCCAGTTTGGGGTGCATTCACCACTGTGTCTGCCCGTGTATGCACATACACACGATTCTAAGCTTGATGCTCGTGCTTGTAACACTGTGCTTGTCCCACGGCCAGCCTCGCCTCCGAGAGCTCGGCGTTGTCAGCGTTGGGGATGTACAATGGAGCTTCCGCCTGAGCCGTGCATTAGCGAGACACGCATGAGCACACCCAGCCTGCCGGGTCCCTTGGGACTCACACACATAATTAGCCCCTCTGCACCAAAGCCTTCATGGCCGTGTTTGCCACATGGTGAGTGTCACCCAGCGGGCCCGCGAACACGCGCACACAGAAGCCCTCCCGTCCCCGTCACTGCATTTGCCATATGGTCAGGCTCACCTGCTGGGTCTGGGGCAAGGAGACAGACGGGCAACACTTGCACACATAATGAAACTCCCCACTGGGCTGCCTTAAGAAATTAAAAAAAAAAAATAAAATAGAAGTTGACATAACTGCCACATGACCAGACTCACCTGCTGAGTTTTGGGGCAGGGTGGGGCAGTCACACACACATGAATTTGCCATCTCTGCCTGTGCTGCGCTTCAGTACATGAGGCTGGAATCAGAGCAGGAGGATGTGCTCCCCACCCCTGGGGTGACAGAAACCTCTCTGCCCTCTGTGCCCCTGATCTACGTGGAAGGGGACATGCACCTCCGTAACATTAGGACATTGGACACTAGGAAGAATTTCTTCACAGAAAGAGTGATTATACTCTGGAATGGGCTGCCCAGGGAGGTGGCAGAGTGACCATCGCAGGAGGTGTTTAAGGCAAGACTGGACGTGGCACTGAGTCACGGTGGCTGGAATCAAGTGATTCTGTGACTCTCTGGTAACGAGCCTCTCTCTCCTCCTGGGTGCCCTGTGAGCACCTCAGGGCCACCCCGACTCCCCGCGGGTGGGGCCACCCCGGCAGGGGCCTCCGGTACCCGGCACTGCCCCGTCCCCCGGGGCGCTCTGACGGTAATTACCGAGGTGGCAGCAGCCACCGGGGAGCGAATAACGAGCCTTCCCCTCCCCAGACGAGCAGTGCCGGTAAACAGCGGTCACGGGAGGCGAGGAAGGGCGGGCACGGCCGTGCGGGCGGGGAGCCGGCGCTGCGTGAGGGGCGGGCAGTCGGCGGTGCCCTCGTCACGCCCCGCCCTCCAGCACCGCGGCGGCCGCCGAGCTGGGCGAGGGAAGGAGTGGACAGTGCTGCCCCGGCACGCTGTCCGTGGGAAGGCTGTCCCGGGGAAGACTGTCCCGGGGGCGGCTCTCCCCGGGCGGGCTCTGTCCGCGGGGGCGACCGTCAGCCCGCGCCGCCATGGCGGGGGGGGCGCGGGGCTCCCCCGGGGGCGGTGACGCGCGTTGCCATGGCGACGGCCGGGCGGCGTGGGGGGGGTGGCGGGATGACAACAAATATGGCGGAGAGGAGCAGGACGGCAGAGACGGGTCAGTGCCAGCCGCAGTCGCCTGGGCGGGGGGAGAGGGGGAGCCTCCCTTCTCCAGGGGCTTCTGGCGGTAGAGGGGGCCTGGCTCGCAACTGAGTGCGGAGACGGAGCCCTTCTCTCAGGGGAGAGGGAGGGGAGAGCCTCTGGCCGAGGGCACTGAGGTGACGAAGGGGCCGCCGCAGAGGCTCCTGCCCGGGGAGCTGTGGCGAAGGGCAAGGCCCCTTCCCATGGGGGGTGAGGAGCGTCTTCCCGGGGAAGAGGTGGTCATGGGGAAAGCTCTTTCAAGCAGGGAGAGAGGGAAGAGCCCCCGGCGCTCCAGCCCTGCCTGAGGGGGACTGACCCGCTGTGGGCTGGAAGGTGCGAGGGCCAGAGCTCGGCTCACCCGGCCGGCGCTGCGGGGCTGAGCCCTGGCTGGGCGGAGAGTGATGGTGGGGCAGCCTGTACCCTGCTCCATCCTCCCGCACTCTGCTCCATCCTCCCGCGCAGGGGCGAAGGTGGCGGTGGCGAAGAGCAGAGCAAACTGGTGGTGCAGAGGAGATCCCCTCACACAAGAAACAACCGCCTGCTTTAATTAGGATGAAAAAAAAAAATTCGTCAAGACACACAGGTCCGGAACTGAAAGTGCAGCACAAGGCTGATAGCTCGGGGGTTGACCTCCAGATGCTGCTTGACCTCTCCGGGAGGTGTAAAGTAGCCGGAGGCTGCGGAGGGGCAGCGACCAGCACCCCTGACAGCTCCCATGCCTTACTCTTGTTATTGAGGATTTCTTTAAGGAAAGTGGCAAGTGTTGTTCTTCCCACTCGGAATGTATTAACAATGGCTTTAACTGTGTATGTGAAGATAAGTTTGTCTGTGACACTGAAGTTTTGTGTTTCCTAATAAATGATAAGGACCTTCTAGGTACGGGGGTCTTTCCTGTTCTAACAAAACACAGTTAAGGTCTTTTCCAACCCACATGAAAATAAAAGCCCCCAAAATATATTATGAAAATTAGAGATATTAACATTTGGAAGATGAAACAAAGATAACAGTTTTGCTGAATATTTAATATCCCATAGCACCACACATAAATTATCTGGGTTCCTGGACCAGAAGTTCATTTTTCCAGCCTGCTGTGTTAGCGGCTGTGCTGCTGCTTTTCAGCCTCAGAAGCGGCTCCAAATGAATATGCATTATCTATAGAACTGATTTTGGATTTTTGGGCCACTTAAGGTGAAAAAAGTGATAAGTATGCGAAATGCTGTTGTGTTCTGGGAAACAATACTACAGAGTCTACATCTAAATGGTTTGGCCATGTGGTTCCTGAATTCCCTGTGTTCAGCCATGCTGTTTATGAACCCCTGAAACAACACTGTGAAGTTTATTGTACATTGAACTTGTCCACGAGGCAGCTGATTATTTGCATCCTCTGTGTTTTGCAACACTACTAAACACAGCTGATCAGCTCTGCCTGAGCTGTGAATCGGGGAACAAATTTCCAAGTGGCCATTTGACTGTGTCACCTTTGCTGCCTGTTACTGTTCCCTGTGCCCTTGTCATAACTTTAACATGTAATGTAACTTTCATACTGTTTCCAGATTAACTTACTCTTACATTGTGTTCTCTGATGTATTATTTGAATCTGCAGCCTTACAATATTTTATTTTTAACATTGCCCAGAACTTTTTCTACTTGTAACTGTTGCAGCTGACTAATGAGTGATTTTCTCGTAAATGTTGTGCTGAAATCATGTTTAGTTGCATGTCCTGATACATGGTCTACTTAAGTTTTGCAATGTTTGTCTGGCCATTTTGCAAGTTTAATTTGAAGGTCCTTCTGTTTTGGAAAAACCAGACAAGGAATTAAAAATGTGAAGAACCACAAAGACATGAAAAAGACCCAAAACTTTCAGAGAAAGGGAAGCAAGCTTGTGATCTTGGCCCATTTTTAAGGAAGGACATGGAAAGTAGGCTGTGAGGGAAAAAAAAGGTGGGGTGGTTTGTTTTTTTTCTGACTGTCAGCTGACACTAAAGTGACAGGAAGATTCTTTCCTTGGGAAATCCCCCAAAGAACCTTTTTTGTCCCCTTAATGCCAGGTGACACTGACACTGTTACTGAACACATAAAACTGGGGAACGTTCTTGTGCTTGATGCTTCCTGACTGCTTAGTGTGTCTTCATCATATGCCAGATCTAGACCAGTCTTTAGGAGATGAATCCAGCTCTGGAACCTGCATTTTGCACAAGTGCAAGAAGAATGAATCCACTACAGAAGGACTAAACCTTGTTCAAACCATATAAATCAATTTAGCCATCACCTTTTATAACACTGTTAGACTCAGCATTATTTTCTGTATCATGGTTAAAGCCAAGCTGTGTATTTCAAGTAAAATGGGACTGAATAGGGAAGGTAGATTATCTCACACCTGTCTACTACAGAGTTCATATTCTGTTGCCATCATTGCTGGACTAGGCAGACATGTGGTGTAATCCATTAAAATAGTTTCTGTGTTCTGATGTTTGATTAGAGTGCTGCAAATCAGCTCACTTTTCTCTGGATTAATCAATCATTTTCCCATTGTAATTGGCTCCATAGTCCTACCTGCTTTCTTGAAGCAGCTCAAATCAGCTTTTTTGCAGTAAACCCCGAATTTGTATGCTTTCCTGTTTGGGTTTCCAGGCTCTTCATGTCTCACGCTGGGAATCCAACTTAGAAGCAACTTAAATCTTCAAAAATGCAAGATAACGAGAGCCATTAAGTCTAGTTAGTTACTTCCAAGAGCTTCTTGGTTTTACTTCCAGTTGTTCTGCTTAGCTGACCTGGCATCTTAAACCTTTGGAAGATACAGGACACAGCAAGAAATCCAGTTTGGTTAAGTTTCTTCAAAACCAGTTCAGTATTATTTTTCCAGTTCTGTAGCGAACAGGACATTATTCGCTTCACTAAGGAAGCTTTAGGATTAGGTCAAAGTAAGTACACAATACCTGTATTTGCAAAATTTTTTGACCCATGAACCAGATGAAAATATTTTAAGAATTAGAATTTCACTGATTATCTCATTCTCCCTGGGTTTCTGTTCTAGGCATCTGAATTACCTTCAGAGGACTTGCTTCTAGAGGCCTGAATGATCAAAGGGTGCAGGTTATCTCTGAGTTCTGTAATAGTTTTCTATCTGAGGCAACTGCATATTAGTCTGGATTGACAGTTCTAATATGTGTTATTCCACAGTTGGTAGTCATTTTGTGGATATTAGTATTTCTGAGATTTCATTGAGTCATCATCGCTGAAATCATAGTGAAAGCAAGAAAAGGCATTTACTCACAGTACTGGACAGGACATAAATATATGTTTTTAGACCAAAGGTCCTTGTTATTGGAATAAACAGGTTTCCAGCTGAATGTGTAGTTTTTTTATGTTTATTTACATGTCATGATGGGTACCTTGCAGAGTGAAGTCACATTTCATATTAGGAATGGTTAGAATTTTCAAAGTGTTCACAGCTGGGCTGTGACCTGGCTCAGGGAGGAAAGCTGCAAACCAATGTTGAATGCTGAAGCCCCACTCAAAGCTTGGGTAGTAATTAGTGTATCTAAAACACTTAGTGTTGAGATCATTATTTCAGAGATCTGCAAGTGGAGAGGCTGATAGAGCAGCTGTGTAAGTTCTGCAGTGTTTTCTAATGGATTTTAATATGACAGTGCTGAGCTGGACCATTTTAAAGACAGTTTTTGATTCTTTTGAAAAAGAATTGTTATTCTTTTAAAAATATTTAATCACATATGATATGAAAACATTCTAGTATCAAGAACATACTGCTTTCTTTTAGGGTAGCCTTCATTGTTAAATAAAAAGCTGAACTAAATAAGAACCTAATTTATTTGTCTTTATAGGCTTTTTTGATAACTGGAACTTCTGATTCATTGGATTTTTCATGAGGAAATTTAAAATAGGAGAAACCAGCTAATTACTTGAACAGTATTATTTAATCTTGGTCTTTAAAATAACACTGTAGATCAGTGTTACTTCTGATCCTCCAGGGCAACCTAATTTCTTCAATTGAGTTGTCCTGATTTCTGAATTTTCAAGTGTGTATAAACAATAGAGCTTATTCTGTAATAGGCATAGTTGAATTCCAGTGTTTGGGAGAAGACCTTGCAGTCCTCATGCTGAGAGGGATCTGCCCACTGTCTCCTCCTATCAACATGAGGAGGTTTCCAACATCAGTGGAAAACTGTGTGGGGACTGGGCCCAGCCTCGCAGATGTTCCAACACCAGAAAGAGCTGTTTGCAGTTGTTTATAAAGTGCTGCAGGATGGATTTGTAAACAAATCTAAAATGTCTTTTGTTCAACAAAGACATTTGCCATTACCCAACAGCATCGGTACCTTTCAGTCTGAGCAGCTGGAAGTCCAGGGGACATTAGAGAAAGGTTTGTTAGTAAATTTGAGGCAGTTTGTAAGACCATGAACTACTTCAGTTTTCAGTGCTTAAGTTGAAATATTTGTTCAAGTTCTACATAGAAATTAACTCTCCTTGCTGCAGAAAAATATTATAATAATCATTAGACTCTCTTGCCAGTAGGCTGATATTCAACTAATTTCCAACTTTTTTCAGTTATCTGGTAGAAACAATCCCCACTAGAAAAATCCGTCGAAGAAGAGCTGCTGATATATTTTTGGTACTTAGAGCTTTGATCATATTTCTATTATATAATTTACCATATAAGGAGACCTGAGAAATACTAATGAAGGCTTAATACAGCCAGAAGATATAATTTCTGAAAAAGAAAGAAACAGGAGTGTGTTGGGTGTTCCAGCTGCCATTTCTGAATGGTTTACCATTTCCCAGCCATATTTCAAACAGTTTTTTCTTTGACGAATAATCAAAGCTTTGAAAAGTTACTTACCTCAAGCCTCCCAACGTTTTTTCTTTCAGTGAAGTTCAAAGCACCCTATTAATTATTAGCACTTGTGAGAGGAGGTTTTTGAATTTGTAAAAAGTAAAGTGAGACATATTGAGAAT